CCAAAAAAAAAAAAAAAAAAAAAAAAGGTGCGACCCTGTGGGATGTTTGTTATAATGTTCCTGAAAACAGAAAACCTGAGAATTTAGGACTCTGTTAACCACTTCTCAGAGAGTGGCGCCCCAATACACAATCTCACATAAAGGGCAAGGGCCGCAATACACAATCTTCATGATAACTTTGGGTGTCCGATGATGTGTTCTGCCTCTGCTGTCCCATTACGTGCTCTGCGGGAATTTTGAGTCCTCAAAAGGAATACTAATTGAGTCGACAGACATCTAGGCCACAGGAGCCGCCCCGCCCGGCCAGGCGGGCCAGGCCAGTGCGACCCGGGACCCATCCACCCGGGGTACCCGGGCAGGTTGTTTTGCCCGCCCTTTTTTTTCTTTTTTTTTTTCCCTGGCTAGGGGGCACTTCTGCACTCCCTTAGACGTGCACAAATCCCGCCTTTTTTTTTTTTTTTTTGGTGAAGTTGCAGACAAGGGGGGGAAGGGGGAGGGGGATTGGAGGCAGGGGGGTTATTAGGGGGTCGGCTGTGCCCCCCTAGCTGCATATAGCCTGTGCGGTGCAGGCACAGAAGACTAGCTGTAAAGAGTGTGTGCCTTCTATGCCTGCGATGTCGACAGTGTGGACACTAACACTAGACGGACAACAAAGTTGAACAAACTCACAGCAAACTGACATCAAAATGGAACAGAGTTCAGCTAACTCACAGGGATCTCGCATCAAAGTTGAGCAAGGGAGCAAACTGACATCAGAGTTGAGCAAACTGCAGTCCGCCAACTCTCCCTTCAACCAAACTGACATCTATCTCTTGGCAACAAACCTTTTTTTTTTTTGTTTTTTTTTTAAACACGCCCCCGTCAGTGTTAGTGGCGCTGATAAGAGCAGACACCGCTAACACCTGGGGGGGAACTCCATCTATATTGTTGGGGAGCGACACCTGCTGGAAACCATGGCAATAGATCGAGCTCCCCCCCAGGTGTTAGCGGTGTCTGCTCTTATCAGCACCACTAACACTGACGGGGGCGTGTTAGAAAGAAAAAAAAAAAAAAAAAAAAGTGTCCCTTACATGGTGACATCTATGTCTTGGCAAACTCAGCACGTGGCAAAGGGCCTAGTTGCACTACCGCCATAGGCCAAGTTTGGCGAGTAGGCGCCTGGTTGCACTTACTCGCCAAACTTGGCGAATGCAAAATGTGTCAGACGGCTCGCCACACCGTCGACACAACTTGTGGAGAGTGAATTCAGTTYCCCCGCCTGTGCACGGCGGTTTGTGGAGGGTGGTCTTCGGACCTCGCCACACAACAGCTTTCTGGAGAGTGCAGGGCTTCACGAGTCGACATGGGGGAGACAATTTTTTTTGATGTTTCTGTAGAAGAAATCTCGTGGCGAGTACGTGCAACCAGACCTCGAGTTCGACACGATTCTCATATTTTTCACTCTCCACGGATCCGCCACGAAATGTGACGGATGGTGAGTAGTGCAACTAGGCCCAAAGAAAGCATGGCATTCAGAATTTCAGATACCACCATAACCACTCTAAGCAAAGTAGAAGCCATCACATAAGTATGATATAACAAGATTGACAAACTAACAAAAAAAAGAAGGCCAGAGAGACAACAAGCAAACAACGACACAGAGAAACCTGAAACAGCTGCAAGTCTGACGTCGTTTGAGATTCGTGAAAGTAGAAGAACAAGAAGAAGAAAGAAAGGAAGGAAAAAATACAGCTGTCTTCTCCTCATANCAGCTGCAAGTCTGACGTCGTTTGAGATTCGTGAAAGTAGAAGAACAAGAAGAAGAAAGAAAGGAAGGAAAAAATACAGCTGTCTTCTCCTCATACAACAGCTGGAAGTATGAAGACGTTTGAGATTCCTGAAAGTACAAGAAGAAGAAGAAGAAAGAAAGAAAGAAAAAAATGCAGTCGTCTTCTCCTCATATATGGGGGGCAGTTCTATTTCAGAAACGCTATTTTCTTCTATCAATTCAGCCTCTCACACTACGTCTATCCACAAACCCCACAAGCATCGCAGACCAGCAGCAGACCACAATCTATATCTTTGCAGCGTGGACACCACACAAGGAAAAGGATTATGGGTTACCCATCTCAGAGTTACGCTTATCCCCTCAGGGTTTAACCTAAACCCTGGCTTGGTTTGTTCGATCCACTCGGGGGGGCGAACGGACTATCTCAGGTGGTGAGCCCGAAGTGTACCTCAGGGAATCTGAACTTCTGAAGAAGAGAAAGTTCAAGAAGAAGAAGAGGAAGAAGAGAGTATATGCCTGATTGTTGCATCTGCCCTGCATAGTAGCACGGTGCTACAGGCTGTCAGTGCCTACAGGCAGAGTGCATACTACGTGATGCCCAATCAGTGCAAGCACCATCCCAAGACGATCAGCATCTGATATGATAAGTTGGACAAACTAATAGCAAAGCACGCCTGAGCAGCAACAACAAAAAAAAAACTTAAACAGACGGAGAAACCTGGAAGTACTGAAAGTCTGAAAGATTGACAGACTACCTAACTGCAAGTGCTTTGAGATTCCTGAAAGGAAAAGAAGTTGAAAGAACAAACAAGAAGAGAAAAAGGAGGAGGAGGAGGAGGAGGAGGAGGAGGAGGAGGAGGAGGAAGAAGAAGACGAGAAAGGAGAAGTATGTCTGTTGAACAATGTTTGTTGCATCCGCCTAACACGGGCAGTGCAGCGCTGCAGGGTGGCAGTAGCTACATTGCAACCCTGAATGGCAGTATCATGATGCCCAATCACCACCCTAAGACTATCACCTAATCTACTGCCATTCAGGATCGGAGTCATTGCCCTCACCGCTGTCCTCGTCCCTGCTTTCCTCATCTATGCTACTCTGCTCCCCTGCCGTCGGACCATCCTCAATGACTTGCATGCGCTTTCCACTCGTGCCCGGGTTTCCCTTGTTTTGTGGATGGCTCCTGCCCCCACTGCGTGTGGAAGGGCGGCATGTTGCTGGTGGTGGTGGCGGGTCAGGTCTTCCTTGTACCTTTCTCGGTCTGCCCCGCCCACGCTTCACAACTGGGGCGACTGGAGACTCGAGTCCATTTTTCTTTTCCCTCCCCGCCCTGCTGATTTCCAAGTTGTCATGGACGAGAGACTCGTCCATCTATGGAAAGGGAGGAGGGCAATCTACATATGGTAGCTGTTCCTCGTCCTCTTGTTACTGCTGGCCCTTCAGTTGGTCATGTTGTTGCCCTTGTTGCTGCTCTTGTTGCACGATACACTGGGCAGGCTACTACCCCGGCTGCACGGCATGCTTTTCCTTTCGCTGTCACTATTCCAGTCGCACGTTGCACTGATTGTGGCCCTTCTCATCCAGATGCTGATGCAACTGTTTTTGAACGTCCTGCAGCTGAGGCGGGTCCTCTTTCTGTTGCTTCTCTGATTGCTGCAGCAGTACCTGTACATGTTGCAGCTGGTGGTGCTGTTGCACCTCATTTGTGTGGAGTCCACCTGTTGTGCACGCAGAGGGAGGTGCAGATGCCCCTGTTGTGCATGCGGAGGGAGGTGCAGATGCCGCTCCATGCATGTTCACCCTTGTGGGAGGTCGCACAGCCATGCGCCGTGTGGCGTCATCTTCTATGCGTTGCTGCACCCTCACCCGATCCTTGTCTGCTAGGGCCCTTGCTGCTGACCTGTCCTCCTCATCAACGCGGTCTCTCTCCTTCTCGGACTGACGCTGGGATGGCAGAAGCAGGTCTGCAGCAAGAGAATGCGCCCGAATCATCATCAGATTTATCACTGTCCTCAGATGGGAGCAGTTCAAAATCCGAGTCTGCATATGAATCCTCCTCCTCCCCCCCCCCTCAACCTCCTCATCCTCCTCCCCCATTGGGGCCTTGCCTTTTGCGTCTCGCAACGGTTGTGTCCTTCTGTTCCCTTTCTCACTTCAAATTATGTCATCGTCGCTGTTCGATGCAGCGGAATCATCTGAACCCAGATCTTTTGGAATCCTCCCCCTTGGGGTCTTTGTCAAGCGAGCCTGCCGTTGCAAATCCTCCTCCGTCATCTCCAAAGGCCCCGGCAAAATCGCACCATCATTTGGGGATGGAAGCTCGGGGTCATCGAAGAATGTTGCCCACACATCAACCCACCCATCCATCATACTTCTAGGAATGCTCTGCAGCTGCATGTTCCAATGCACATAAACAAGCTTCGCCAAACTCTCGCTTGAGAGATTGTTCCTCCTCTTGCTGTGGATCAAGTCAAGGGAGGACCAATTTCTCTCCGAGGGTGTGGCTGCGCTCCAAATGTTTGTGACCCTGGTTGCAATCTTCTGCAGGTCCTTGTGGTCACAACTGTAAGTTGCCCACTACTGTGACTTTATTTTGCGGGTCAAGGAGGCATCTGCTTGCCCGAATGTGTCCCACATGGGTTCCTTGAAGCACTGCTCCCTAGGTGGCTCACCGTGAAAAGCCCACAAGCTCTGCCACACATCAATGTGAGACTGCAATGCCCCCCACCTCTGGCCACAGAGCTGTGTTAAGAAATACGTGATAGCGTTCTGCACCAGGGGAGTTTGCCTGTCCAACACCCACCCATCTAGGGTCTCTCCTGAGGGGGGAGAGGAGGAAGTTGGCTCCATGCGCCGGTTGGCGCATCATCCTGCATTGATTCAACGATGACTCTCATTATGTCCTCCTGCTGCTCCACCGTAAGGCCACCAATGCTCCTGACGCAGCCCTGAAGCATCTCATCAAACCCCCACAGCTGTGAGGGCGCCAAACCATCACTGTCCATCCTTCTTAGGAGCTCGTTCACCCGCCTCATAACCTTTACAATCTGCTCCATTTCTTCCCACCACTCATTTGACCTCATGGTCAGATAGATATTGTGCCTTGTTTCTTAACTTCCTTGTGCTCCAGTGGATTTCCCTCCACCCTATGTCCATCATTTCATCAAGGACCCACCGTCTATCTGCAACCTCTCCAACATCTGGTATGTCGATGCGAAACGGACCTCGGTTGGCATGATGAGTGTCTTTGTCTCCTCTACCGAGCACCTCGCATAAAGACCAACTGTACGATGGTGGTTCTTGATGAACCTCACCATCATTTTCGCCCTCTTCACATGGTTTGCCACCAACTGCAGATTTGCAATTCCTTTCATCAGCAGACTGAGAGTGTGCGCAGCTCAAGGCAGCCATGAAAAATTGGCAATGTCTGGATCACTCCGCCTCGCTAGAATCCGGGCGGCCCGCTTGTTAACTCCGGCATTGTTGGTGCAGATCGCGTTGACCCTGTGCACCCCAATTTCTCTGATGACCTCTTCCCACGGTTTTGAAATTGCTGTGGCAGTCGCTTTCCTGTGCTGCACGTCCACTACCCTGAGAAGAACAGCCCCACCTTCCCCTGCGGCAATTAAGTTGATCACGGGCCTCCACTTCCTGTCCGTTGTCCCGTCGGTGATCAGCGTGCATCCAGTAGTGTCAATGATTGGCTGCACTGCTTTCTGCACTTGTCCGTAGACCAGGTCCAACATTGTTCGGATGGTCTCTGAAGATGACATGTCGAGAACTGCCTTTGTGGCTCCGAGCTCCATGTAACGTTGTGCAATGCCCGTGTCTCATCGACACACAAGAAGTTGAAGGGTACGTGCCTCCTGCACTGCACTCGGCTATCTCCCTGGCGCTGGCGGCGGACGAAGATGCTCCTCCAACTCAGCAATGTCATCTTTGTCTCCTCCAGCGGGCTCCAATCCAGTGTCCTCCACGATTCCTTTCAGTGTTCTGTACTGAAACAACATGTTTGTGGAGGCCTCCCCAACTATATTCGCCCCTTGCAAAGTGAGCTCGTGCAATATCTCGCCAGTGCGGTACAGGCATGGCTTCCCCTTCTTCAAGAAGTGATCCATCGCCCGAGTCTTCAATGCAGTAAACTGCTTGTTGCACAGTCTGCATCGAACCCAGTACTGGCCGTAGCCATTCAGCTCAGCCGGCTTCCCCCTCTCTACCCATCGGTAAACGACGGATTCATTCTGCAGTTCCCTTTGCTTCTCCTCCGGTTGTGGTTCAAAAGGGGGCTGCATGGGCGGTGCACTACTGTTGGCCTTAGCCTTCTCAGCCCCCTTTTCCTTCTCAGCCCCGCCATTTGCATAACTAGACGACGCCATGATGCAGGGAAGAAGAAGAAGCAGAGCAGCAACGGGAACTGGAGCTGCAGCGAAAAAGCAAGCAAACAGAAACCCTGTCAGTGACAATCGGTTGTGAGCAAATTGGACCAAACACGACAGGAGAAAAAAAAAAAAAAAAAACACTGAGGCTCCGTCATCATGATCTGGACCACGAAACTCTTCCACATCTGGAATAGGAAGAGGTTACAGATGAGGATCTGCGACAACAAATAGTTCCACATCTGGAACAGGAATGAGTTCCAGAACCGTTTCTGGATCTGCAACTGCTCCATATCTGGAATAGGAAGTTCCAGAACTCGCTGCAGATCTGGAACAGCAACCAGTTCCAGAACCATTTCTGGATCTGCAGCTGCTCCAGATCTGGGACAGGAAGTTCCAGAGCTCGCTCCGGATCTGTAACTGGAAACAGAACCAGATCTGGAATAGGAACCACTTCCAGAACTGGTTCTGGATATGCGACAGCGAGAAGTTCCGGATCTGGAACAGCGTAAAGGACAGAGCCATTGGACTGCTTGTTGGCAGCTCTTGCACAGCGTAAAGGGCAGGAGGAAAAAAAAAACAGACGGATCCGACGTGGAAGAAGAAGAAGCAGAAGAAGAAGAAGAAGAAGAAGAAGAAGAAGATGATGATGAAGACAAAGAAGAAGAACAAGGAGAACAAGAACAACAAGAAAAAGAACCGACGAGGAGGAAGAGGAGGAACAAGAACAAGGACAAGAACAAAGACAAGTACAAGAACAAGAACCAGAACAAAAACAAGAAAGATGGATGGAGGATGAATGGCGACGACTGGGTGACCGAGAGAAAAGAAAAATAAAAAGATGACGAGCCATTGACGATAGGGAGGAAGAGGAGGAGCAGGAGGGAGGATAGATGGAGGAGGAAATGGAGGAGGGGGGAGAGATGACGGGTTGGAAGAATGGCGCAGGAGGGGAGAAAGAGAACCTGGAGGAGGTGGGAAGACGGAGGAAAGAAGGATGAGGGATGAGGATGGACCGAGGAAGGAAGAAGTAGGGAGGGCGGAGGGAGGGTGGATGGCGACAAGGGACAACAAAAAAAGAAAACGATGACGAGCCATTGACAAGGAGGAGAGGAGGAGGAGGAGAAGTGGAGACGGAGGGAGGAGACATGGCGAAGGGGGTGCAGGAGAGATGACGTTGCGGCAAAAAAAAAAAAAAAAAAAAAAAGAGAAACAAAAAACTGGGTGAGATGGCGAACAAGGTGAAGATCACGATGACGTGGCGGCAAGGGGAAAAGAAAAGAAATCTAAAATGGAGGGAGAAACGTTGGAAGAGGTAGAGCAGGAGGGACGTGGGATGGTGTAGGATGTGGAGGAGGCAGAGGAGGTGGCTAATGAGATGACGTGGTAAATGAGGGAGTTAAGATGACGTCGCAGATGAGGTGACGTGGCAACAACGGTGGGGGGGAAATGGAGGGAGGAAGGATGGAGGAAGAGGTGAAGAAGGAGGAAGGTGAGAGGAGGAGGAGGACGCAGCGACGGGGAGAAGTTGGAGAACCAAAAAAAAAGAAAGAAAAAGGATGGAGGACTGAGGAGGTCGAGGAGGAGGGAAGCTGGCGGAAGGAAAGATGGAGGACGAGGGAGACAGAGGAGGTGGAGGAGGGAAGACGGAGGCGGCGGAGGAGAGAGATGGCATGGCAGTGAGATGGGGGAGGAGGTGGAGGAAGAGATGTGGCGACCGGGAAAAGTTTCAAGCCGAAGAAAAAAAAAGAAAGAAAACAGACGATGGAGTGAGGAGGAGGTGGAGGGAAGATGGCGGGAGGAAAGATGGACGAGGAGGGAGACAAAGGAGGTGGAGGAAGAGGGAACACGGGGGAGGCGGAGGAGAGAGAGAACGTAGTGGTGAGGAGACAAAGAGAAAAGAAAAAGAAAATGGTGGGAGGAACGATGGAGGAAGAGGTGGACGAGAAGGAATGAGAGATGCCGGAGGTAAAGATAAAGATGCCGCAGCTAGTAGGGGAAAAACAAATGAAGGAAGAATGGAGGAGCTGGACGAGGAGGGAATGAGAAGAAGAAGAAGAAGAAGAAGAAGAAGAAGAAGAAGAAGAAGAAGAAGAAGAAGAAGAAGAAGAAATTGGAGGAGAGGAAGAAGACGAGGAGGAGGAGAGAAGGAGGAGGAGACGAAGCAGGAGGTTCGGAAGGGAGGACTGACCTGATGGCAACGGTTCTCCTCTGGCGGCGTGTGACAGAAAGCTGGGAGTGGACTCTTGCGCGCCTGGAATCTGGAGCAACAAGGCAGGACGTTGACAGGCTACGGGGAGTTGGAGCTGCGAGGTGGGAGGCATGCGCAACCAGACCAGGCCGGTCGAATTCCAATTTGAATCCCACCCTGGCATTGGCAGGCAGACAGCATGGGCAGCTGATTGCAGATGATCGACGGCCCAAACAGAAGCGCAAACGAAAATGGGGGAACTGAGGGCCTGTATTTTTTTTTTAGGCCGGTGTGGTTCTTGAGGCGCCGCGTCACGCATCTGGGTGCCCAACAGTTCAAAAAAGCTCGTTCCATGATTTTGCACTGGGAGGCCCGGTGGTCCGCCCGGTTGGGCCACCCAGGCCGCATGGCTTGTGGCCTAGCTGCAAACCCAAAAATTAAGGGCGTGTACTGAGCAGGGCTTGAACCCACGCCCTACTACCAATGCAGTAGAACCTGCAAACCTAAAAATAATGCATGCAGGCTCTAAGAAGTGTGGCATGCAAATCAGCCTGTTGGAGCTGTGATGGGTCTTTTAGGACACAACTCTTGAATGTGTTTTTTATAGAACCTTGTGTTCCCTGAGTACTTTTTGCCACACCCATGAATGCACGCCCACTCGTCCGACGGAGGGGGGCGAGTCTTGCGCGTCGTGGAATTATCCTTTGCCTTGATTGCCTGTTCTTGGCTGCCTGCAAATTCTTCCTCGCTGTTTCCATTCTTCACTCCGCAATTCTGCACATCTTCCGCTTCACTGGAAGTTCTTTCCTGAGTGGCTGCATCGGCAGCCTCCAGCGGCGCAGTGCTCTTTGTCGGCTCAACACTTGCCGATACCTTTGCCTGTGTTGGCTCAAATGTGGATGGGGTTGCCGCCGGTATCATCTCAGCAGCTCGGGGTGTAGGCAGCGGCACAGTCACCACCATGCCTGGCGCCGGGACAGCTTCTGCAGCATTCTCTTTTGCCGCTTCCTCTTCCAGAGGTTTCTTTCCCTTTTGCTGCTTCTTTACTGGCTTCTTATCATCCGAAGCCTTCTCCTCTTTTGCTGCTTCCTCTTCCAGAGGCCTCTTCTCCTTGTTCTGCTTCTTCCTTGGCTTATCGGTTGAAGGCCTCTCCTCAGCCACCCTCTTCGCTCCCCTCTTTCTCCCAGTTGGTACAGATGCTGCTTTCTCCTCTTCACCGTGATTCTGCGCCTCTTCCGCTTCACCGGAAGCTCTTTCCTGAGTGGCTGCGTCGGCGGCCTCATGTGGTGAAGGGCTCTTTGTCATGCGTCTCATGCCCACACTTGCCGACAGCTTTGCCTGTGTTTGTTCAACTGCGGACGGGATTGCTGTCACTATCGTCTCAAGTTCTGAAGCTTTCCCGGAGCACAAATTCACAACAGCAGCACTCGTATCCACCAACTCCTGTTTTCCCACTTTATCCTCTGCTGCTGGTGGTGTAGGCAGCGGCATAATCGTCACCATCCCTGGTGCCAGGACAGTTTCCACAGCATTCTGTTTCGCCTCCTCTTCCAGAGGCCTCTCCCCCTTTTGCTGCTTCTTTCCTGACTTTATATCAGACGGCTTCTCCTCTTTCGCCACTTCCTCGTCTGGAGGCTTCTTTCCCTTTCGCTGCCTTTTTACTGGCTTACCATCCAAAGGCTTGTCCTCTTTTGCTGCTTTCTCTATCGGAGGCGACTTCTTCCTTTTCTGCTTCTTTGCCAGCTTATCGCCTGAAGGCTTCTCCTCAGCCGCCCTCTTTGTTCCTGTCTTTCTTCCAGCTGGTGCAGACATTGCATTGTCCTCCGATGGCTTGCTCTCAGCAGCTTTCTTTACCATTGCCTGCTTCCCTTGCGCCTTCTTGGCTGTAGGCTTCGGTGCACCATTGCAAGGACTGTTCCGCATACCCTTGCTATCACCATTGGTCCCATCTGCACATATCCAACACAACAGCACACATGGGAATACAAAATAAGATAGCGAAAACGAGAAGAAGATGTCTAGGACAAGAAGACAATTGGCACAACAAATGTTCTTAACCTCTGCCTGCTTCCCATGCGCCTTCTTCGCTCCAGGCTTCTGTGTACGGTTGCAAGAAGGTTTGTTCAGCATTACCTTGCCACCAACACAATGCCTGGTCCCTTCTCCCCCGCAGCAGATACCCAGCACAATGCATACGCATGGAATACTCGTCAGAAATTAAGGACAAGAGTATGAAATTAGAGAAGAAAACAAATACTCGTTAGAAATTCAAGACGAGTATAAAATAAAATAAGAGAAGAAGACGTCTAGGACAATAGGATTACTGGAACAGTAAAAGGACCCCCGCGGTAAAACGGTACTAAAACCTCATCTTGCTCCAGACGCAGGCACCACACGGAAATCCACAAGCACTCACATTACCAGGCAATGCTTCCCAGACCTTTTCCTCCACCAGATGAGCTGTACACCCTGGGACCCACTTGTTGGCAGATCAAGACAAGCCAGAAAATGACTCACAGGAGGACTTTCGACGTCCACTTCACAAGAGATGTGGTTAGGACGCTACATCTCCCGGTGGGCCTGAACCCTGCTGGCTGATCTCTATAGACACCGTTTCAGGTTGTGGGGAGTCCAGAGGGGTTCAGAGGGGGCGGGGTTGGCGTTAAGGCATTATTGCAGATAAAAAGGAGATACAGAGACTTACACACGACGGTTCTAAAGGGGTTTCAAACCTCTCAAAAAATGGCAAACACAAATCACTGATATTATCATTTTACCGGTCTCAATGTCCAGCTTATCAGAGGG